AATTGCTACCTTGAACATTGGAGCATTTGTAGTGCGTTTTCGAATACAGTTCTTACATATAATGTTAACGGCCTTCTTCAAAACCAATTTGTTTCAGCGTTAAGTCCAAAGGAAGTGCGAGATCATAGCATCAGAAGTTTTCGAGCTTTTCTGAGAAATAGGAGGAAGTGAACACATCTGTCCTTCACTTCATCCTTCCCGTACTCCCAGTACATTCGCTCCCTTCTCATTCTGCACGGGAGAATTTATTGGATTTCCTCCTCTTGACAGTTACTTCTCCTTCTCAATGGTACCAAGAAGCAATTTCTTTTCGAATTGTACATGCACGTGAGCATTCATACAGAACTTTCCAATTCAAAAATATTTTGTTACAGAAAAGCAACGAGACGATGAGCATTTCTTATTGGCTCGCAGTTCTGCTGGTTTGTTTCCTACTTTTACGAGAAGCCTCTCTGATATGCCATCGCGGCGTTTTTTAGATATGTGCTCTATACGGTATTGGATCGGCATGGTATTCGGATTACTGTAGTTCATACAACGAACCGTACTCATGCTCATGGCCGTGGGGAAAATAATTTAGCCGGGCCTCAATAAAAGCTTATTCATCACATATTTGCAATTAATTATTAGTTTGTCCAAACTGATTTTCAAACTTCGCATAGCAGATTAAAAAAATACAAAATGATCGCACTGATTTCGAAGGTGCTACCTTCTCTGAACATTAATTGTTAGATGAAAAAAGGACAAGATGGTCACACTACCAATCTTCATGGGACAGGATACGGCGCATTTCATCTTTGGTTGGAACATAGGGCAACTGTGAAGCAGATGGGCCCTATTCAGTTTATCGGCATCATGAAGGTGTTGAGGAGAATGTGGTTCTCTCATTAGAGTGGCACGACAACACTAGACAACATTAGACGGTTCGAGGACCTAAAAAAACAGAAATGACTCACTCGAACCACGTCGGAGAGACTTCTGCCCGCAAAATCAGTCTTGCGATCTTCGTAAACGGATGATGACACATGAGATCGAATCGTGGAAGTAGCTTTTGACGGAATATTGCTGAAAATAATTTTTAGCCAGCGATAGCAAAAATAATCAAATTCAATCTGCTGAAAAATCCCAAGCCATCGTGTGCACTATTAGCAATTGTTATTGCCTTCATTTCGTTATGGGGACCAAATTAAGATTGCGAAGCACCTGCGAGCATATTTGGCCTATACAAAGGACACGACGCAGTTTTCTTAGTGACAAACGAAACGCGCATCAAGAACTTAAGTACGGGAAGGCTGGAGGCTGGTTGATTTGATGGGGTTGGATTGAGCAGCTGATCTACAGGGCAGCTTTGGTAGCATTACAGCCCCATTCTATGTTACGAAAGCACCCTTTCACGTCCACGTACACAGCTTGTTCCTCAGAACTTCTCAAGAAATGTCTAAAAACTCTGTAAATGGAAATGACGAGCACTGAATGCTCATTCAGAAAATTGAGAAGAATCAGATGCAGTAGTGTCAGTTCTAAAAAATTCCAAATAAACTTTTCAACAGCGTGGGCCGCTTGTAGCTTCTCGAAAAAAGGTTAAAGGAATCCTTCACGGAAAAATCATGATTCTATTTCAGCCATAAATCACTGGCTTGAGACTCATTATCCACGATAAGAATGAAAAGAACAGAAATATTGCTTTCGTTTTGGTAAAAAATTCGAAAAATCGAAAGGGCTGCTACGCGTTCAAAGTGCCCACGGACGTCTTTCACAAATGCTGGCGACGGGGATGCTTCCACTTGGTTCTTGGAGTGCCTTCACTAGAAACTCTTTCTGGCCTTCTGACTTATTGCATTCACATCTCACACTTCTACTCCATCCTATTCTATCGATCGATTTGTCTCTACTCTCCGAAATCGCGCGCTTTAACCCGATTCTTTCATTGCGTCGCCTGATACGTAGGCGCCCCAGTGCGGACTTATTCCATGCCCCGCCTTTGGCTCCGCCCGAATTACCTTCGATGTCCATAGAATGGATTTTCGTGAGTTTGTTTCTCTTCGGAAACCGAACCTTCATGCGTAAAACTTTGTGTATTGCATCTAGTGATCACAACTGATATACATTCATGTTGAAAAATGCAAGAATTTTCCGCGAAGAATTCCTTCAAGGTACACGGTAAGATACATGTGCGTAGACTGAGCCACCGAACATACCGTAATGCGTTGCGAACGTGGCTGCTTGCCTCATCCGTAATGCTGCGGAAACGCCGGCGTTGTTCCTGGACAATTTTTGCATGCGCGACCGGATTCCTGAAAAAAAGAACGTTTTTAGAGATCATGAGGTCATCGGTTGGCATTTATAATCACCTCACCTCGCTTTATTAATTCAATATCCATCAGAGGAAAATGGTTGCCGCCATTAGGTATTGAGTTGTTTTTGCCTTGAAAGCTTTCCACCTCAGTGGCACGGTCAAATTGACCACGAATAGCATGGGACTAACCTAATAATACGGTGTCTATTGTAAAGGGAACTAGGCTAAGATCTGAAACGCGGGACTTCCGCATCAAAGGGCGCGTCCGAAGCAGCCTACCGAGGAGTAGCCCTGGTGATCGCCCGCCTTCGTGGAGAGCCACGCTTTCTGGTTGCAAGCTTGGCTATTAAAATAGGCGCTGAATGAGTCCTCATTCCCCCATGTATTGTTTCCCTAAGTTTTCTTCACCACTGTACTGTTTGCCATCTTTTATGCTATAAAAAAAAGTGAGGATTTTGGTTGAAATGAGTTACCTCCGGGGCCGTTCCATGCAGGGAAACCCCTTAGCTCTTCATGATGAGAATAAGTCATTGTCGCTATTCCATAAGAGTGCTTGACATTCTCAGTTGCACTATAGGGAGAAGGGTATGGTTTCTAGTATACTGCAGCCTACAGGAATTGTACACAGTTGGCCAGGATTTTGGGAATCTGTACGACCGTTGACTGTTTCACGACGTCCCCCTCCATCTCGTGCATCCATTCGTTAGGCGGCCAGTTCGCAATAAAAGGTTTGCAAAAAAGGGAAAAGACGTACCTCGGGTTTAAGTAAGTGTAAGATGGATGGGTAATTCGACGTCAGCTCGACCGTACGCACGGAGTATGGAATGAAGTACGAAACGATGATCAGCTGAAAAATTTTGTATGATAATTCACTAGCGCACTGAGGCCAGCGCAGTCCACTTCTTTGACAAGCACCCTTCCATCCTTTGTACACCCGCCCTTTGATATACTACTTGTGCACTCATTGGGGCTGTGGGCTTAGGGACGCTGTGGAAGGAAGTCATCCTCACTTCTGCTCCCAAACATTAGTCCAACTATTCAAATGTCCGTTCGGGCGGTTTAAGATTGCTCTTGTCTAATGTGAGAGCGCTCTCCTGGAAAGGGCGAGATACGAGTCCAGGTCCTGACTCAAGCGAGGCTAGTTCATGATTTATTGTGCTTGTATAAAAATGGTCTTCACGTCATTCAATAAAGTTTTTTTCGTGAAGCTCCTCAAACCAGCAGCCCCCCACCCCTATTCATTATGAAACGCTTTCAATGTGATTGAAGGGGTCGGATTGACTCTAGAGCTGGGAAATCACTCACTGCTCCTCTTTTCCATCGAAAATATGTTATGAGCAAACATCGACACCCAATACGGAGTCCAAGCAGAGAACGTAGATAGCCGTCAAGAGTAGCACCGTCGTGATCACCTTACGTAGGGCTGCATCCATAGAGCTGAAACTTTGACTAAAATGGCCACATCAATGAATTATGCCAAAGCGAGTGATGCGAGGAGAATCTTCATCGGTGATACTCTAGCGCTGAAAAAATGCTTTCGCTCGAACCTTGTCCCTATCAAAAAGCCAGCATTATAAACAGATTGTAGGAAATTCGAAGGCTGTAGCTGCCGTACTGATGGAGCACTGTCAGTGTTTTGTATCATACACTATTCCTTATTTAGCTCATCACACAATTGAAGCCAGTGATTTTCAACTATGATGTTGTGTCCATAAACTGCGACTGCTTACACTCAGGAGAGTCTCGACACCGTTATGTATATAAAACTTTTTCTTTTCCTTCCCGGCATTGTTTAAGCAGGATCCAGCGAGGCCTCGAGGAGAATTCGATGAATGAATGAAGCCCCTGTCGACCTGTCGAGGATTCCTGATTATAAGCCTTTTTGTTTGAATTATGAGAAGGTAGTTAATGATCGTTATCGGCTAACGAAATGAAGTTATTTAAGGTGACCGCTCAGCGTGATTCTGAGTCACGAAGCCGGACTGGTACATACTTGTACCACTGCTGGTCTCTTGCAACCTTCGCATCTGCTTCCTTCCGTCGATAGTTTCGCTTTATTTTGAAACCCTTCACGCATTTGTAAGAAGCCACTC